ATGATATATTTCAAAAAACAATTATAATTCATATATATTGCATACATAATTCACTTTTAATACATATTACATATTTAACAAAGCATTGCTATAAGTGGTGACAAACAAAAAGTATCGCTAAAATCAGTAATTATTTTCTAAAATGTATTAATTTATGTAATTTTTCCAAATTGAAAGTAGTTGGGCCTACGTAATGATACGAGAGTTAATTATATTATATTTTTAAAAATTTCTTAAATTTGATGGAATATGAATGTATCACAAAACGTTGCGATATATCGTGTCTCAATACAAACATATGTCTCAACTTTCTAATACATCGCGACTCAATTTAGGATAGACCAGTTGACATTTCGACATATTGCATAAAGTAATGTATCTGAAAATAACAGAGAGTATAATCTTTTGTGACTTTTCCAAGTAACGGAAGATTTTAGATAATATAACGACATAAATTGTATATTTAGATAATTTATCTCGAAAGTTAGGCGAATAGAAGAATTTAAAAAGTAGTTGGCCCACATAACCAAAAAAAAAGGACAATCTAAGTTTAGTGGGGCCAGCCTCATTACCGCATTTTAATGCGGAAAATGTATATATTTATTAATTAATTTATTTTCGTCTTCAATTTTTCTACGAATTAATTGATTTCCTCTTTTTGTTGACTTAGATTGGCTTTTCCTTAAGCAGTAAAAGTTTTTCTCTATCGTTTTTATTAAAAATAGATAAAATTTTAATCTTTTTTTTCATCTTACTAAATGATATTTTATTAAAAAGTAATTAATTATATTTTATATTAGTAAATAATTAAGTAATATAAAATAATTCTTTTAGTAAGATATTCATTTCATATAGAACAAAAAATATTAGTTAGTCATAATTAAATTTTGGTTTTTAGTTAATTTTGCGGCTTAAAAGTAGGTGTTTAAAGACATTTTTTGCCTTTTTAAAAAATACATTCAAAAATAGAAAAGTTTTTATAAATGTGTTAATCCAAAATATCCTCATAATTTTCATGTTTTAATTGTACATAAATCATATTGAAGTTTGATTAGATCTTATATTCGAAAAAGGCTCAAATTTGAACCTCTCATTGAGAAAAAAGTAATTATCTTTCAATTATAATATTTGTAATATTTCTTTACTTCCTCAACTGTTGACTTATTTTTAATTCACATGTTTTCATTTTACAGTCGTGTTATTGTATCGTGAGTTTAACTAAATTTAATTCTTATATTGAAAAGTTATATATTAAAGCGTTTCTAATTAAAAATGATTATATATTTAATAAAGTTAAAATTCGAGATTATCTTATTAAAATTGAAATAGTACTCCCTCCATTCATATGAAGAAAAAAAAGATGATTTTAGATTATAGATATATTAAATAGATAAACAAAAATAAAAAGTTATTTCTGAAAATACTGAACAAGTTAAAATCAACAATACGAAACATTCCACAAAGTCTTGCTAGTTCATTTTTTGTTATTTCTTGGTTAATGATGGATAAAGGTTAGTCAACTTTCACAAAGGTAGGGTGCACAACTTCACCATCGTAGCTTCTATATTAATCACTATTTTATAAATTATTAATCACTATTTTATAAATTATTTTTAAGATTTAAAATATATTAAATTTAAAATGAACAAATAAAAACGAACGAAAGAAGTATTAAACGGTGTATTCTTCGATAAGCAACTAATTGTGATATATATATATATTCACTGTGCTAAGTTGTTTGGGCTACCAAATTGAAGCCCAATTAGTGCTATTATTGGGTATTAAAAGCCCAGAGTCTACATAAGCCATTGTTTGGTTAGAAATAAGCTATCTTACTATGTGTCTACGATAACTTATCTCGTTAACATGGTATAAATAAATCCATGACTATGTAATACCTTAAATAGGATAAAATAATCCTACATTATGAGATTATTATACTTTATACCTCACAAAACGAAGAAAACCCAAGTGATATGGAAAAACTTTTCAAAACTCTTTAATATAGAACTCTTTGGATCGAATCCCTTAAAACAACAACAAAATATAGCCTTTGTAATCCCATAAGAAGGGGTCTAAATAAGGTAGAATGTACTTCTATCTTGTTAGGTACGGAGATCATTTTCGATAGATCGAGACTCAAGAAAAACCAATTCGTTTATTGTGGGCTTTCATCTTCAACCAACTCCTTGAAGGCTAGGCCCAATAGCAACTAAGGGCTTCTTGTGATAATGGACCGAGCCCATGTATATTCCATCTCCATAGTCCACTATGAAATACTCTTTTCGTTTCAGTTTGTTTATCTGTTTTTTGTTAGGTACAGAGATCATTTTCGATAGATCAAGACTCAAGAAAAACCAATTCGTTTATTGTTGGCTTTCATCTTCAACCAATTCCTTGAAGGCTAGGCCCAATAACAACTAAGGGCTTCTTGTGATAATGGACCAAACCCATGTATATTCCATCTCTATAGTCCACTATGAAATACTCTTTTCGTTTTAATTTATTTATCTGTTTTTGAATTGACACGAAGTTTAAATAAATAAAATAAGCATAAATTTGTGTAGGATATAACAGATCTTTAATCTCACGATTTTAAACATGCCATATAGAAAGTCAGAAGAGTTATCATGAAAAAGGAAAGAGATTTCTCGCATTTTTTTTTTAAAAAAGGAAAAGACTTCTTTTATTAGCAAAACAAAAAGAAAATAAGACAAACAAATTGAAACACTATTACACTATATAACCGCTCATCAACATAATAACATACATTTTTTTAATATAATGAAATATATAAATAACATATACATAGTTATTGTAACTTTTTGTATGGTAATTTAATTCACATTATATACAAAAATTTAAATATCTTAATCTTAATAAAAAATAACCGAGTCTTATTAATTAAATTTTATAGGCATCAGAATATAGATTGTTGTGAATATTACAGATGCAATATCACATGGCCAGTGAGAAACAAGCCGATAATATTATAGTATTTAACTATTAGATTTAAAATAATAATGTTAATATCAATTTATTTCGAGTCAACTATATAATAAATAATATATAATTATTCAAGTGTTGATAAGTATTTTTTTATTGTAGTAAACTATTTGAGTTTATAATAAACAGTATATTTTACCAAATTATGTTGTATTTTTTTCTTTTGTTATCAAAATTAGTTGTGCAGGAAATTCATCTGCGAATCAAATTTTAATTTTGATAATAAATAAATCTCGATAAAAAATATTTTTTTTATTTTTATCATTTTTATAAATTTAAAAATCGATAAATATTGAATACGAAATAATTATTAAAAAAATATAATTATTTTTGGAATGTAGGCTAGATTGGTATTATCTCAGATCCAATGGGCCATTTCTTACCTGGTTTGTTACTTCATAATCCTGTCCTCTACCTATAAAGCTATAACAATATTTGTCATATTTCTATTCTCTCTTACTTTTTTTTTTAAGGTCTTTTATTCGGTGTTTGATGATTCAATTATTTAAAAATTATACATATAAAAAATATAGAGTAAATATATTCTTATATAAAAACTGATTTTATACTTATAATCCAAATTAGACATTTCATTTTATAAAAAAAATATATAGCATTTTCTGCTTACGTATAACTAATATATGTATTAATCCTATGCTTTAATCAATACTAATCCTATATAAAACAAATCAAAATGACCGATAAAAACGTAATCTTTCAATATTTTTAAAATTTTTTAAAATAATTCACAATTGCTGTAATTTTTGTACTTTCGTCCTTTTGATAATCAATATGTAGGTGAGCACTCTATGTGCATTGTGTAATAGCTTATAAATCACTTTGAAAATCTAAATCACAGTAGACAAGTGTTATACGACATATTCGACTCAAAAAGCATTGAGGGGGAATCGATCCCTGAATATCACTTCCAAACCAACTTAGTCAATCCCCAAAAACTAATCTCTCAACATATTTAATATATACCTTCTCTCTCTTTGTCAATCGTCAAGAAATCAACGAATCAACCTGCTCATTGTCTTGCTAAAGCATTTTATTTCTATATTTGGTTCGATGAAATTAATATTAAGTTACTAACCCTTCATCTTTCGTTCATGATATACTCGTTTTCAATTTGAATATTGCTTTGATACACTTTACCAAACTATCCCTCAATCCCCCTATATTGTGAAAGTATTTGAAGGGTAATGTTGGTCATTTGATGTAGATGGCTTTGTTTCTCGTAATCATCGACGAAGATATGTACTAAAAGTTAAAAAAAAATAAAAGAGTTTCAAAACAAAAGCACCAAAACACGTGTTGAATTTTTTGGCTATGGAAATACACACACCTAAACTCAAAAAATATAAAAACAGATAATAAAACCAAATAACAAAGAAGCAAAATATTGTTTTGGTTGTCTCGTGAGTAACCCACTGAATTTCTCAAAATGGCATTGTCCAAATTTTTTTAATTGCTAGATTTTTGATATTTATATTATAATATGATTGATTTAGATTTATGTTGTATAAGATTTTATTCGAGGAAAAGTGCTTTCTATTAAAATTATTCAAACTTGAAAATTTTTATTAAGAAAGAAGCAACCTTATTTGACATATCATTATATACTTTATTAAACGCTTAATACTTATCAATTATTTTTTAAAAATTTTAATCACCTGATCCAAACAAACTCTTAATAAAAAAATTCTATATATGTTGCACATTATTTAATATAGTTTATTGTCACAAAAAAGGAAAAAAATAAGCTAAAAATAGACAAAAATATCACACATCTCTTTCTTTATTGTTTCATAATTAAAAGTTAATTAAAACAGTCAATAAATATTTATAGGTCTGATCTTTATGCTTATTTGTACTAGTTTTTTTTTTAATAATAATAAAAATTAAAATACCATAATCTCTTCACTACCCCACCTACCTCCCACTCCCTATTGCAAAAAAAATAAAAAAATAATAAAAATAAATATTATTTTCAAGATTTTATAGTAGCAGAGAGAGAAAAAACTGAAGAGATCTGAAGAGGGGTCTGACTAGTTTCTTCTCTCAAAAAATCTCTCTTTTGAACGGCCCTCCCTAATTTTTGTCAAAAAGGGTATAATAGAGGGAGGAGTAACAGTCTTTTCTCTAAATCTCTGCATTTAGTTTTTGCTGTACTCAGTAAGTTTTTGCCAAATTCTGTTTTGATTTTGTTTCTTCTTAGTTTAACTATTTATTTTTTGGGGGTTTCTTTTCGATCTGTACTGATCTTGATATTTTTTAGGTAGTTTTTGTTTGCTTGTGTTTAATTTCTGTATTTATGGTGTGGGTTTTATGTTTTAGGATGAGCGTTGCTAAATTTACTCGTTCTTGATGTAAAAATCTGATCTTTTTGTGTTTCTGCTGGTGTGTTGTACTGATTGTACTTAGGGGTTTAATTTTTTTGTTACTGATGTGGGTTTTGTGTTTTAGGAGGAGGGTTGTTTGAATTTTAGCTGTTCTTGTGGTAAAAATCTGATCTTTTTTGTGGTATGTGTACTGATTGTACTTGGTTATTTAGTTTTGGGATTGGTGATGTGGGTTTTGTGTTTTAGGAGGAGGGTTGCTTAAATTTTAGCATTTCTTTATGCAAAAGTCTGATCTTTTTTTTTGTGCTCTAGCTATGTGTGTATTGATTGTAATTGGGGATTTGAGCTGATTTTTCAGTTTGTTTTTGCTTTGTTTTGCATCAATGCAAGGATGATTTGGTTTCTAGCTGATTCATTTTTTCTATCCGATGGGGTTTGTTTCCTTGTCTTCAATTTTAGCATAAATGATGTGGGTTTTGTTTTTTGGGAGGAGGGTAGCTAAAATTTTGCAGTTCTTGATGCAAAAATCTGATCCTTTTTGTGCTCTAGCTATATGTGTATTGATTGTACTTGGTGGGTTGAGCTGTTTTTCAGTTTGTTTTGCATCAGTGCACAGTTGATCTTTGGTTTCTAGTAGATTTAGTTTATCTATGTTAAAGATCTAATCGTTACTTTTGATTTTGAATTTGAATTAGTTTGTATGCTGCTTTCTTTTGTCCTTTAAGGTTTATGGATTTTCTCTTATCCAATTTCCTTCTTTTGATTGCTGTTAATGTATATGGGATCGTTTTTTTTTTCTGTGCTCAGCTTCTGAGATGATGACTCTGAAATCTTGTTGTTTATTGAGTCTCGAATGAGTAGCTGCTCTTTTAATCAAAGATCTATTTTTATACTGCTTCATAGCTTGATCATGGATTATTAGGATTCCCTGGGCTGAATCATTCTGCACCAATGGTTTAAAAATTTAGTCCATCTTGCGCCCAATTCATTATTTTGATAACCTTGGTGACTGGGCCGTATAACTTAAAAGTCTTCCATATCGTGTTATTCTTTCTGCCCTCAATTATCGTGTGTCTTCTTGATGCATCTTTCTCACTTGTGTTGAACATAATTTGCTAATGTATTCATTCTTTGCTTCAGGATCAGGGACTTCTCGGTTTGTATTTCATTGAAATATGGGTGTAGAGGTGGAAGCTAAGTTAGTTCATGTTCCAGTTGAAGCTGGAACTGAACAGATCAATCTTCTGAAAGAAAATGGAAAGCCGAATCATGTTTCAGGGATTACGGAGCCAATAAAATTCGGCTCTCATGGGACTGAAGAACCTAAGGAGGAAATAAGTAGAATTCCTGTGAGCAATGTTCCAAAGGATGCGGTTGAGGATTGGCCTGAACCTAAGCAGGTCCATTCGTTCTATACTGTTAAATTTCGGAGATTTGACGACCCTAAACTGAAAGCCAGAATTGAACTGGCTGAAAAAGAGCTACAGAAAAAGAACCAAGCTAGATCTCAGATCATTGAAAAATTGAAGGCCAAAAGGGTAAGTTTTTTGGTGAATCTTTCTTTGGCTGTATTTTTCAAGAGCATATTATTTGGTATCTCTCTAGTATTGTTAAAATCATGGAGTTGTTTATGACATGATCCTAAAATCAGATTTTTACCATGTGTTGCTGCGTTGAACTGGAAGTATTATAAAGTCAAAATGAAAGATCTTGTTATCCTACAGTTTTAACTAATTTCTGCAAATTCAGCAAGCTTTCGTAAGTTGATATTGCCAATTGCATGGCCCATTTTGTTAGTTGCCAATTCTTTTTCCAATTTATGGCCTTGTGGGAGTATGGCGGCTATAATTTAATGGTCTTTGTGTATTTTCAGGCTGAAAAATCAATTTTCATTGAACAAAGGAAAGCCCTCAGTGCTGAGAATAAGGAATTTCGGAGTGCTATTGATGGTAAGATAAAGGAAATGGCACCTCTGCATGAGGCTTTGGGCCAGCTCCGCGGTTCTAGGAATGCAGGCCGAGAGAGGGGTCCTACAGTGTGTTCATCTGAGGAGGAGCTCAATCATCTTGTAAGCACTCGTTTATAACTTTACTTAATTGGTTTGTTTTGTCATTATTTGCATTCATTCCTTTATTTCATATCGTACACAAACAATGATAATATGACATTTTCATTCTGGCAACTTTGTAGATCAAGGGTCTGCAATACCGCATTCAGCATGAAAGCATTCCTCTGAACGAAGAGAAGCAAATTCTTCGGGAAATCAAACAACTTGAAGGAACAAGGGAAGATGTTAAAAAGGTTGCTGCTGCAAGAGCACAGATTCATGAGACGATGGGTGAAAAAGAATCAATCCAGAGTCAGGTCAAAGTAAGGCCTTTATGTTATGTTTCTCTTATACAGATGCAAATATTTAGGTTTCATGGCTGTATCGTATCATGTGAGTTTGCTGTGATCTGCATATGATAACTGCTAACCTGCCGCTGGTATTTGTAGCTTATGAATGTTGGCTTGGATGGAGTTCGTAAGGGACAACAGGAAGTCAAGGGCAGGCTTAAGATAATAGATGATCAGATTGATGCCATAAACAAACAGATCGGTATATTGGATGAGGAATTGAAGGACGTTGTGGAGAAGAGGGACAAGACTTATGAACATATTCTGGAATTGAGAAAACAGCGTGAAGAAGGGGTATGCTGCTGCTTCCTGTCTTACTATTTTGGTTAAAAAAAGGGTTCATGGTATATGTTATGCTCAAATTAAATCCAATTAAAACAAAAAAAGATTCAATCCCATTGTTTTCCTTCGGTGAATCATCAACAATCAATTACATACGAGATGCTTCAATTACTGTGCTTCTACTTGTTACTGTTCTGATGATGCCATATGCTACCCATATATGGTCTATTGATCTATCTGTTTCCATGTTTGATTACATGTTTTTGTTGTGTTGTGTTGTCCTGTATCTTTGTAGTTGCCTTATGTGTAGGAATTTTATGAGTGATCAGAAAAATTTCTCCGTCGTCTACACTATTTTTTGTTAGGAGAGCAGGTAGAAACATTTCATTACTGGTCTAGATACATGCTTCACGGGCGCTGGTAAGTGACATGATGGTTGCCTGGAATTTTATAGTAATGACGACTTCTGGTTTTGCTCATGTATATTTGATTTCTAACTTGCTAGTGTCTTTCGTGTATATTTGACTGAGTACCGCAACTGTCCTTGGTAACTAACAGCTTCTAGAGACACACCCAAAAAGAAAAAATAACAGTTAAAAGGATGGCAGCTGAGAGGTAAGGAAGGTTGCTCTTCCTAAAAAGGAATAGAAAACAGTAGGAAATTTTACATCTCAAGGGAGAAGCCAGTTGATTTGTTTATGTCAACTCTCTGAAATCTTTCACGGGCGCTATTATCTTTAAAAAAATTGAAATGTTTTTTTTGATTACTGCAGTGTCAAGAGAAATAGTCTCTAAACTTATGTAGTCTTTATAACCAATTTCCTGCAATTTTCAGAATTCTTCTTTCTATCAAAACTCCAACGTGTTGCACAAAGTGAAACAACTTGCTGACCAAAAGGATGTTGGAGCCCTTAAAGAGCTTTCAGTTACAGAGGTATGATGTATTTTTCACCGGTAGTTGTTATATTTATGTGTTTGGTATTGACAACCATCTTTTTTCTTTCACTAGGTCGACAAGTTCATTTCTCTTTGGTGTGGTAGTAAGTCTTTTAGAGATGACTATGAGAGGAGACTCTTGCAGTCGCTTGATATTAGGCAGCTGAGCAGGGACGGCAGGATGAGGAATCCTGATGAAAAGCCACTGGTGTTACCAGAAGCACCTACTGTCTCCCGTGCTGAAGTTCCAGCAAGAGCTAATGCAAAACCCGTTAAGGAAGATCATGCACCCGTTGATGCTGCTCCGATTCAGAAAGAACAGCAAGAGGTTAGCGGCAAGCAGCTGAATGATGCTCGTGGTAAAAACTCAAAAAGCACAGAGAAAAAAGCTGTTGTTGATGATGATGAGGAAATCTATGGTTTGGACCTACACAAGGATTCTAAGCCCAAGAAAATCGAAATTGATGAGGCAACACTGAAGGAGATGAAGAAAGAGGAGGAGATGGCAAAAAATAAACAGGCTATGGAGAGGAAGCGTAAGTTGGCCGAGAAAGCAGCTGCAAAAGCTGCAAAGAAAGCTCAGCTAGAAGCTGAAAAGAAGCTCAAGGTAATTCTCTCTCTGATTCTTTATAGTCATACCATCTGTGTTGCTCGGACTCTTCAAAAATGTCAAACGAATCCAAAAGTGAAGAGTCCCTGCAACTTAGCTTTCCATTTCCTTGTAGTTTTAGGTTGTAAACGTTTCAGATTTACTTATCTCGTTACTTTGATCCCTTTCAGGAACGTGAGAAGAAAGCAAAGAAGAAGAGCGGAGCTTCTGCTGCTGGTCAGGAACCAATCGAGGAACCAACTGAAACACCCGAGGAAATTGCTGAGGAAGAAAATGCAGAGGAGACTGTTGAAACAGCCGTTGCACCCAAGGTCAAGGCACGGAAAGAGAACACCATCAGGCACAGAGCAACACGTGCAAGAGGCTCCGAGCTTCCCAAAGCTATACTAAAGCGCAAGAAAGCAACAAACTACTGGCTATGGGCAGCTGCTCCTGCTGCACTCGCGATTCTGGTACTTCTAGTCATCGGATACATGTATCTTCAAAAGTAGAAAGAGGCAGGTGGGGAGAGACAAAACAAAAAACAAAAACTTTGTTTTTAGTGTTTTAATTTTTTGTTTACAAATACTGCAATAGCAAGTACTGTTTAGTTTGATCATAACAATATTTCTTTTTCTTGCATCCTATATAGTTTAGGATGGAAAACTCATAAATGTTTTGCTGGTAGATGTGCGGCCTATCTTGAGATTACTTACTGGAGAGACAGTCTACATGTTTTTCTTTTGTTGCTGTAGTTGATATTATATTGACATTTTGCTTAATCGTCGACTTAGCATTTGATCGTAGATTTAGTTGAAACTTTTTAAAAAAAGAATGGTTGGACATGCCATTTGATATTTCGGGAGTGGAAGTGAAATTTCACCGAAAAATCGGTATGGATTATATTTTTGAAAGCCTACTTTCAAAATCTATGATCAAACGGGAGTTCGATTATAAAATGGTGACATGAGGGATTATTAAGTTCTACAAAATTTGTATAACGCTGTAATAATATACCAAGAAAGCTTTGATTTTGCTGATATTATTAAAATATTTACTTCTTTTTATCACCAATTTGTTACTTCTCTCTATAAAATCTAATTGTTAAAATTTGACAAAAAAGAAAGAAACATTTTTTACTGTTTCGAAATGAATTTAAAGAAAGACATAATATAATATAATTTTTTTGTTAAAAAATATTGGGTAATATTTATAATAATTCTATTATTATGAAAAATGGAGCACTCAAATTTGGATTCTAAGACGATACTTCATTTATAAAGACATTGAGTCGCACATAATCAGATATTTTAGGAGGACTTGAAATGAAATCTATGGAACTAAATATGGAAATTAACAATTCTTGTGTTTTTATAGCATTTTTTTTGGTAATGTATCCTATTATGCTTGTGGAATTATTTCGATCAGTGTTTTAAAAGATTTTTCTGGGACTTACTTCGGGCTTGCACTAGGGCGGGACTCTAGCAAAACGCGTCAAGGCTCAAGTGCGAGATTTAGTTAAGACTTACACCCTAAGCATCCGACTGTATGCCCTAAGCACGCTCAACGCTCGGGACTCGCCTAACTGATCTTACACAAATTATGTGTTAAAATAGTTAATTAACATTGTTGACCCTCATAGTTCTTGAATAAATGAATGATACATAACTTTTTAATCTATAAAGATAACAAGATTAAGAGTAACTCAAACAACAAATATAGTATCACATATTTACTATTTGGTAACACAACGAAGGTAATTATATATTACATAACATTTCTCTACTTTAATGATTCTTTTATTATTAGAAAGTGAAGATATTAAATTATTTTTACTTGTATAGTCATGTTTTATTATTATTGGTGTAATGATATTTTTCAAATAGTAATTAGTAATACGTTTTTTCTTTATTATAGAATATCAATACTTATCTCAAATAAAAATCATAATATAATTTCTATATATTATAGATTTTTCATGAAAAATTATTTGTAAAATCATTGAGAGGAATTTAATTAGTAATAAAACTATAAAATTGAATATATATGAGTGATGAGACTACGCCCCGTAGATCCATAGGACTTACACCCCATATTTCAATACTGTATAAAACGCCTCACCTCGCCTCGCCTCGTACCCCTGTCTTTTCAACCACTGATTTCAATTATACGTCTAACTGTGAATCTTAATATATGAATAAAATTGATCTTCTATTTCAAGAAATAAAAAAAGTTGTGATGAGTTATATCAATTTTAACCAACCAAAGTAAAAACTAAATAGAGAAAAATTAATTTGTTACGTAAAATTAGAATGGCTGCTGGTACTTTAATTGTATTTCCATCAAATAGATACAAATAAGTAGTATATATTATGACGTGGTTGTGATGTTGACATTCAATGATGCTGATGGTTTTAGAGCTCGAACTTGTAATCGATAAGTCACTTGGAGATTATTTTATCGTTGTTTTTAGCCAATTATTTAAATGATTCAACAATAATAATAACAATATTCGATAAAATCTAAAGAATGTAGAATGTACGCAAGCCTTATGATTATACCTCATTGAGATAGAGATGCTGTTTCTTAAAGACCCTTAACTCATATGCAACAAATTTCGGTATAAAATAAAAGGAGACAATGAAGAAAATATATGAGACAACGGGAACAATGCAAAAGTAACCAAAACATAAAAAAAATCATATGTTAATCGAAATACAATAGTCCATAAACAACATATTAGGATAGATCATAACTAAAAATAATTATAAACAATGATTAACCAAAAACAAGAACTACAATAGTACTTAGATGGTAGACTTTTTTTCAAATAATAAGAGTGTTCGAACCAACTTGAAACCTTGTAATTTTGCGTATGTTTATCACTGTTTCACTTATTTCATTAACGATTAGATCACACCCTCGTACAAAAATACCAGGAACAACATCACATACATTTTTATTAATGACAACATAGTCACAAGTATTTCTTCTTTGTATCAAATGGAGCTTGTTGAATCTTAGGTACAAAAATTAGTCCTCCTCCACTATGCAAAAAAAAAAAAAAAAAAAACTTGATATATAGTACTTACGATATGGAGTCACTCAACTAATTTCAGATCCCACTCGTGAAATTACACTGAATGTATTATAATCGTATCAGCTCAACCCGTTATAATTTCACCTTATAACTAAGCATACCCACAATATCCATTTTCACATTTCACCCCATCCTTACAAACTCTATTACATTTGCCACAATTCTTAGGATCATCAATCACTCTAGTACATACCCCACCACAACAACGTTGTAACAAATTACATTTATTTTGACATTTTCCACAATTGTTCATGTCACCTAACACATTTCTACAATGTTTCTTACAACAATAAAGCATACTTGTCCCTTTATTTGCCGATACTCCATCACAAATATTATTACGATTCGCGTCACAACTTGCTCCTTTTTTGATCGTTGTCACTTTTTTCGAGCTCCTCAAGCTAGAAAAAGGTGTATCGAGGATGTAAATCGACTCTTCTTCATCGTCGTAGCGAAAAAGAGAGTTTGGATTAGCATTTGTTGATGAAATAAGGAGAATAATGGCAATGAATTTGAGTAAAATGTATGCCATTTTTTTTTTTTAAAAAATGTGAGTGAAATTGAAGTTTGTGATATATGTCTTATATATATGATTTTGAGTTGATGGTTGTGTGATAAAATATTCCTTGTTTTAAGGGAGGGATTGTTCTCTGCTTGTGGCAGAATTAATTAGGTGAAAATTGTTAATTAATTTAATTAGTGAAAAGCTCTAGATCCTAGTGACATAAAGCTATGAATCTAATGAGGATTCCAAGGAGTAATTAGTTTGACATTTATAATTAAATTAGGTTAAGTGGAATATTTAAACGTGTTAATTAACATTGTTTTGAAAAAGTCTAAATCTGACTGTGGAAGTGTTTGTAGCAATGAAACAAAAATATTTTTGTACCTAGAAAAATAGTTTTAATTTGAAGTGATCGTCCAAACAAAAGCAAGATTTGTGATTAATTCAAAAAGTTTACGTCAATATATACTTCTTTATGATTAGAGGTGCAGGTGAAAAAGTTAACGTGTCGAATTGATAAATATTTTTTTCATATTCTTAATTAAAAATTTCAGGTTCATATGGAATAAAATAGATTTTCTTTGATGAAATGTGTTTATCTCAAAGTGAAATTTTTCGTAAACCAGTCAAACCACAAAGCAAGCTAAAAAATAAAATAAATTACGTTGTGCCTTACCTAATAAATCAAAATCATAAATAAGTCAATTATTCAAAACGTTTTATCATTATCACGAGTCCTTCACTTTCATGATATCCGATCGATTTTTATTTTTTTTACATAAATGATAAATAGTTGCATATAGAGTTAGTAGACCATCTCAACCACGAATAGAATGGATCCACCATATAATATAATTTTTTCTACATCTTACTTATTATATAGATTTAAATCCTAATTAAAAATCTTTGGATGCTATTATAGGTTAACACGTCATTACAAAGTCTTAAATTGTCATTAAGATGAAAAAGGCCACCAAATGATGGTAGAGTGAAGAGTAATTTAGGTGCCTTAGTTTAAAGAGACAATAAGTGATTAATTAATCTTGCTTAATACATAATCCTAATATTAATTTATTATTCACGTTGAAAGATCCGATTTCTCGGCGGGCAAACCGCGAGGCACTTGGTTTCTCACGGTCTCTCATGCTAGATCTCAGCCGACGAAAGGTCTAGTCAATTTGCAAGCGCACGATATGTGATTTCGATTATCATTACTCGATCGATCTGTTACGTATTGTTTCATAATATATTATGTTGCGATGTATGGTATTGGATTGTTTTCCCCGTAGGAAAAATTACATGATTAAACAAATATATACTAGTTAATTAGTCACCATAGCTGTAGTTTTTAGTAAATTATCACTTCCGACCAACATTCAGTGATAATTACGTGGGTTGAGGTTTCGAGTTTGTAGGATTCAGAATTTGTATGATATGATTTGTATAAATTTTTTTTATAATGTTATATTGAATAATATAATTCGTGTAATTGTTTAAAGTTCAGATGTTTGTGTTTGTATAAATTTGTTATTTTGAATTTATACAAAAAATGCGAGAATTCACCTTGTTTTAATGAAGAAGACCCTACATATTAAATTAGACATACTTCACTGCCATATGCCAATTTATACTATTATTATTTACAGTTTCAAAGTATTATGTATCTTACCACTAATTTCTATTATATATTGAGGAAGATACATTTAGCTACATGTATTTTTGTTATTAGATACACTAAAATAGGGAGAGAGACGTACAAGATTCGTTATGTATACATGAGAATCACATTAGATGTATGTATCTAGTGTGATTTAGAGATTCTGCATACATATTAGAGTAGTGAACGAGATGGTAGAGAGGCGTGAAAGGCTAGCGAGATTTGTTATGTATCTCAGGTACATGCGAATCCACTTGGATGAAGTATCTACGATAAATTACACATAATTTTGACCCATATATCTCAAGCTGAACGCACTAAAATCTGATAAGATAAGTAATATCACAACTTGGAGTTCATCTATGTAATTAGGTAGATTTGTGTAAGTTTCCATTTAATAAATACAATGTTTGAATATATTGTCTTTGTCGTTAATTACATAATATCACGCATCAACTGTTTGAACGATAAACAT